CAGCGGTGACACGGAGGCGGCGGTCTCTCCGTGAGAGAGAGTGAGTCAGTGAAGAGGGAGAGGAAGAGAGGAAGGGGATGTATGATAGGTGGGTCCCATAATTTTCTTAAAAAAGAAAATGCTGACTGGATTGCCCGCGTACGCCATGAAGAACAAAACCATTCTGGATTGGGTCGAGGGGGTAATTCGTCTGGTATTGAAAGTTTAAGGTGAGCAATGTTTGGTTTTTGGGTTCAGGGGGTAATTCGGTCGACCGCAACAGTTTAGGGGGTAATTCATCTTTTTCCTGTATTAAATTATATGCACTGGTCAATTCAAATACAAAAGCCTAAACTGATATAAAATGATGGACAATTCATTTTATATTCTAACATATTAGTGTCCCTGTGGCTTGTTAGGAAATGATAGTCAAACAAACTATAAAGAACAATAAATCAATCACAGAAGACACGAGATTTAACTGGAAAACCCTCCTAAAACAGAAGAGAAAAACCACGGGCGCCAGTCAGCAAAATATCTTCACTATATCGGGGTGAGGTTACAACGCCGCATATCGGCTTACAAGAGGTGTGTGTGTATATATATATATATATATATATATATTAACTGGTGCTACATGGAGTATGGGCTCCAAGATTCAAATTGAGTATATACCCAATTTGAATGAGTATAAATTTTTTTTAAATGTTTAGATATGAACATTAACTTCTTTACTAACAAGTTTGAACTGAGTTTGAACTTTTTTTTGTTAGATTTTGGTTCTAAGTATATAACAATTAAACATATAATTCGTTAGGTATGTAATAATGAATTGTGAAATAAAGTTGAGTTTGAGTTGTTTTGTTGTTAGGTATATGTATGAATCAAATTCATATACCTAGGTATATACTCACAATTTGAAAATTTTTAAAAATTTGAGAGAATTTGTGTGTTTTATACCTTGGAGCCCGGGCACCATGGAGTCCCATATATATATATGGGGGAACCCTAAAAGAGATGACGATCCGCTACGCTCCGGCCTAAGCCTACCGACGACGGGCCTCCGCTCCACTACGGTAGAAGTTGGCTTTTATTAAGTGTAAATGAATTTGGATCACAACTCAATATGGCTAACACATACTCTACGTCTATTTTCTAACTCTGAATTATCTGATCCAAAACCATACTCCCTCCGTCCCAAAATAAGTGTAGTTTTAGCACTATTTATGTTCAACGTTTGACCGTTCGTCTTATTTGAATAAAGATTATGATTAGTATTTTTATTGTTATTAGATGATAAAACATGAATAATACTTTATGTGTGACTAATTTTTTAAATATTTTTTATAAACTTTTTAAATAAGACAGATGGTCAAAGCGCTAAACACAGATATTTATGACTGTACTTATTTTGGGACGGAGATATTACATATTAGTACTGTTAATTTTCATGACAGAACATCGATCGTCGAAACATAATTATTTGACAGCTTAATTTAACATGACCCTTGCGCATGGACAGCTAGCGTAGCAGTACTTAAGCCACTAGTACTAACCCCTTCACATTCGTTGCCACTGTACGCCTGCCCCAAAATATGTGCGTGCGTGCGTGCGTACGTGCGTTGTTCCAATCAATACGCGATGTACTACGCTGGTATACACAGGACCACTACGATCTGGCTAGCTAGATAAACCTCAGTTGGATCGATCTGTTGTTTCAATTTATAATTAGGACCACTCTCTGCTACCTACTGTGTGTCTACGCGTACGGCCATGCACGCACAACAAGCAGTATACACCTGATCCAAATGCATTTTGGCATACATGTATGGTCGAGTGCACATCCAACACCAATATACCTTCTCTATCCAAAAAAATAAACTAACTTCAGAATTTAAATTTGAACATAGCGTAGGTTTAGATTCAAACTTAAAAACGAGTCTTTTTAGGACGGACAAAGTACGTGCTAGAACGACCAATCCAGGCTCGTCTCGAGACAATTCTTTTTTTCCTTTTCATTCCCTTGCTCTCTCAATTCCAAAGATATGGCTAGAGTAGAGTTTGGTATCAGGTGCAAGGGTTAGGTTTTGGGCCATCTCGGTTGTATTTCATTTGTGTGCCTAGCGGTGACTAGTCACGCTTAGCGGCAGCTGGTTTGGTGCTAGCCTTTTCTTGGGTCGGTGCGTGGGAGGTGGTTATTTTTTCTTTGTTTTCTGGTTATGACCTCCCACCCTTGGAGTCTTGTAATTTTTTTCATGCTCTATCAATATGAACTTCGCATTGTTTGTTGTGAGTCGTAAAAAAAAAGTACTTTGATAGTGTTCGGCTTGTTACTAAAATAATATTAACATAATACATAAGTTGTCCAAATAAAAGGCACTACCAAATTAAACTTGTCGAGATTTTGGCATTGCTAGCATTTTGAAAGGCAGTAAACCAAACAAAGCTATTAACCCATTTTTTTTCTAATATCAATCATCTTTATAAATTTGATTGCTCCAAGATTCGTGCAAAGTTATATAACCCTACCATCACTCTCTCCCTCATTTCCAACGCCTGAGCTATTGCCATCTTTGCCCCTCCATCTCGCATTTCCAACCTAGCGTGTCATCACTGTTGATGTGACACTTCGACTTTAGCTTCGAATAATGCATGATTTACCAAATTTAGTCGTCAACAGTCACCCTCTAACTCACTAGCACCGGCGTGATCAACCGGCCAGCCACACCCTCACCTCCACTTCCTCGTCCCTAAATCTACCATCGTGTCATCGTACGTCTTCCCGACTTCCATGGTCCCATGGTCCACGCGTTGTATCCACGTCACGCCCCTCCTTATCCTCCTGAAGTCGAGCGGTGGCGAGATGCCCTCACCCTGCCATATAAACCACCATGGCCAGGGCTAGATGACTAAAAATTCCTCAAATTCGAATCACCTGACCATGAATGGTAAAGGTTGTATATATTCATTCAGGCACCGTTTAGTTCCCAAACAAAAACTTTTCACCATGTCACATCGAATGTTTAAACACATGCATACATCGAATGTTTAAACACATACATAGAGTATTAAATATAAAAAAACCTAATTACACAGATTGCGTGTAAATTGTGAGACGGATCTTTTAAACCTAATTGTAGTGGCGCTACAATAAATATTTGTTAATGGCTGATTAATTAGACTTAATAAATTCGTCTCGCAATTTATAGGCAGAATCTGTAATTTATTTTATTATTAGTCCACGTTTAATACTTTAAATATATAGGAGTATATGTATATCTATGTGACACGCTAAAAGTGCGAAACTAAACAGGGCCTCAATCAATCAATCGCCCAAATCCACCACCCATTCAAATGCAAATCCCATTGACTGTGCACAACAATAACAAAGGGTACACTTCACTATGCGTTGTGCAAGTCCATCGGCACAAAAGCAAAAGGAGCAAAGTACTGTTGCACATGAGATCAACAGACACACACACACTGACTCCCATGGCTGATCAATGGCTGTTCCATCACCGGCCACACAGAGGCTACTCACTCCCATGGTCTATGGTCTATGGGCAACCTTTCAACAAGCCATGTCTATCGATCGATCGATCGATTGACTAACCCCATTCTTTTCATCTTCAGTTTCGTCAGTAACGACAGGAATGGTCGTCGCAATGCTGGTGCTGTTTTTTCTCCAATAAAAACTGAATAAACTTTTAGATAAGAGTGACACGTTTTTCTAATTGCTAAACAGAGTGTGAAAATTTTTTTATATGAAAGTTGTTTTCTATATAAAAGTTGTTTTAAATATAAGATTAATCTTTTTTTTATAATAATTAAAACTCAATTAATCACAGTTATTACCACAATAATCTTCATCTTCAAACATCACGCGCTGTGTACACTGTACACACGCACACCACACAACGTCCATCGTCGGTCTAGTCTCGATCAAACTTCTCTTTCTCATCTCATCTCATCAAGGTGCTCTATGCTGATCCATCAGTCGTTGATCTGATTGCTCGATGGAGGCATAGTGAGAAATGCTTGACTTTAGGTGGTCTGTACTTTGCCTAATCTTTCCTGGATTTCTCCTGCTTTTATGACCAAGCTCTAGCTAGCTACCAGTACAGCTGCTTTGGTGCTGGAGGTCAATGCATGCAGTGGCAAGTACTACCTTCCTCCTAAAATAAATGCAGCCGTGGATATCAGTGCCCAACATTTGACCATTCGTCTTATTAAAAAAATTTATGAAAAATTTAAAAATATTTAATCACATATAAAGTACTATTCATGTTTTATCATCTAATAGCAATAAAAATACTAATCATAATTTTTTTTTCAAATAAGACGAACAGTCAAACGTTGAACGTGAATAGTATAAAATTGTGAATAGTATAAAACTGCACTTATTTTAGTACGGAGAGAGTACTGAAAATGAAGCTCACTTGGATGGGATAAGTAAAATACATGCACTACTAATGTTTTTCATGGTAATTAATTATGGATATGTTTGATATGAGAAGAAACAAGAAAATTGAGTAAATTTTGATTTATATAATTTTTAAAGTGATTTTCTTATAGATTTTTTTTAAAAAAACATTGTTTAGTAGCTTGTGAAGCTTGCACGTGAAGAACGAGAGATTTCTTCTCTCTATCTGTTTGCAACGATCACATCCTAATTAAGAAAATTTATGAAATTAAATGAAGGATTGATTGTTGCGTGATTGGTTGAGCTAGTAGTAAATTATGCAAGCCAAATCATTATATTTTGAGACAGTGACGGAGGTATACAGCAGTACTTCTCTGTTCCCAAGAACTTGTCACCATATAGAGAATTTTAAAATAAATGAGTAACATGGGATAATTTTTGGTATTTATAATGTTTGGAAGAAAGTATAATAGGTCTAAATTTAAATATCAATTGTGTTGAGGGAAAAGATAGAGTAAAATTGTGTAACGGAAAAAAATGAGTAAGGTTATTAATGATGCAACACCCATCAATTTAAGTTGAAGACAACTAGTAAAAGTTACGAAATTGCAGTTCTTGGAATGCATACAATACATACAAACTTGTACGTGTGGGATCAACGCTGGATATATAAGATTTAATTGATTAATTTACATTGGCATTTCGTTGACCAGTCCTTAATTAATTAAAAGTCACTTCAAAGCCATGAAGATAATTAACATGCGCCCCAACAGCTGACCATCTTGCCGCTAGCTTAGTGACAGTTTATAACTAAATTAACCTAAAATTTTACTACAAACATTTCGTACAAAAAAAAACCATGCAAATTACGTGCGTGTGCATGCACTAGCTAATTATATATAAAACCTCCGAATTAATCCCAAAGCAAATGCAAATCACCACGCATCCATGCAAATTTGCATTTGCGAGCAATTTGATATGATCAAATGGCGATGAGGCTGGCCCATCGCCATAATGCATTTGCAAAAGCTGCGTAAGCTTAAGGATTAATGGAGATCGATGGAGGAGCTAGTTGAACACCGACAGTGGCATCATGCAGCCGGCGGCGTGCGCCTCGGCGGCCGCCGCCGCCGCCGCCATGGCCAGCACCAGGTCCTCCCCGCCGCCGCCGCTGGGAGCACCGGCAGCGCCGCCCGTCGACGCCGCGACGTCGCCGCCGCCGGGCTGCTCGCCGGCCGGTGCCAGGAAGTAGTGGCCGTGGAGGAAGTGCGCCGGGAACAAGAAGTGCGGCACCGTGGTCGTCGTCGTCGTCGTCTCCATGTCCGGCAGCGCCGCGGCGGCGGCGGCGGCGGCGGGCGGCGCCACCGCCTGTTCCACCAGCTGCTGCTGCTGCTGCTTCTGCTTGGTGTGGGAGGCGGCGGCGCGCTTGCGGCGCTTCTTCTCGTAGGCGATGCCGCGGGCCTTGGACTGCGTGTCGCGGATGTCGCGGAGGTAGAGGCGGACGGCGCGGGCGCCGAAGGGGTTGGACTCAGGGCGGCCGCCGTGCTCCTCGAAGGCGGCGCGGAGGCGGCCGACGAGGGCGTCGAGGCTGCCCCACGCCTGGCGGAGCGGGCAGGGGCACGGCGCCGGCGGCGAGGGGTGGCCGAAGAAGGGGCAGCCATGGGCGTGCACCTTCGTCTTCCCGAACTGGTCCAGGTACCGGAGGAACTCCAGCACGTGCGCGCCGCTGCACCGGGAGAGCTCCAGCGGCGGCCGGTGGTTGCGCAGATACTGCCCGAACGTCTGCCAGTCCCGCCGCTTCTGCGACTCGTACCTGCTCGGCCTGGCCGTGCCGCCGCCGCCGGGGCTTTCCGCCGGCGACGCCATGCCGATCATGTCCATCTCCTCAATCTCTCACCTGCCAAACATGAACCATTAATTGCTGCGTGTCAGTTCGTCAACCCCATGACCAATGGTCAAACCAAGCAGCTAATGCTATTGAGAATTTGACATACTGTGGATGATTCAGAATGAGAAAGAACTAGGGTTTCAGCTAATCTGGAAGTTATCTCAATGCTTCTTCTAATATGTTTGACGTGCAAAGCTTTGTGAGTTTTGGAAAAAAATAAAAAAAGGCAGATAACTGGGTGGTCCAAGAAAAACAAAACACAGTAGCAAGATTGGGGTTTTGAAGATCTGGCGTGAACTTAGCTCAGCCAAGCAAGAACTGACACAAATTAACTGTAATACATGCAGGGACAGAGAGAGCAGATCAGCAGAAGGGGAAGCATAGTACTGTATCACTCAAAGAGCAAATGATGCTTATTTGAAGATGCACTGTGCCGGCCGGTGATCTAACCCTAATTAACGAGATCGATCGATGCAGAAAGTAGAGCTAGATCATCAGCTTTAGAGATATCTGGAGTTGTTCTAATACTATAATTCTTGCTTGGTTCAGGCTGCAGAGATCGAAGTGTGTGGTACAGTGAGAAGAAAGAAAGAGGATGTTATAATAATGGTGATCAATCAATCAAGGGGAACACTGTTCATCAACTACTCGATCGAGAAGGCGAATTGTATATTTGATCTGCAGATCGAGAGAGAGAGAGAGTTAGGCATTGATTGAAAGGAACTCATGGTAGGTGTGGTGTGCAACAGGAAAAGCTTTGATACGCTGCAGATAGCCGTGTCTACCGAATCAAAACACAAGCTATATTAATTAATTAATCAGTGCAACTGATACTACTAGAAAAGAACCAAAACAAGAACAACAACACACTCTCGATCGATCGCATGGTGCAAAACTGAAAATCAAATCAAACTCAGATCAACACAAGAAACACACTCTAGTAGCAACTAAACTAGCTAATCCCCCAGCAATTAAGCAGCAACAATACACAAGATCATCAATCGTTGCAGGGTGCAGGCAGGCAAGCTGGCTGATCTACAGACAAATCAAGTGGCAGATCGATCGAGAGAGCTTACCAAGAAGCCAAGAAGAAGAAGATACAGGAGCCAGCAGAAGGGAGGAATGAGGAGGAAGACGATGAAGAAGAGAAGGGAGAGGAGAAGAGAAGAGAAGATATGGAGGGAGGGATCGCGCTCCTCTGACCAAAAGTCATAGGGACGTGGGTGGGTCTAATCTTTGTAGGTCTTACATGTCAGTAACAAAGTCCCTCTAGTTCTACGTCAGAGGAGATTCATCCTGAAGGAGGATCGCGCTCCTCTAACATAAAGTCAGAGGGACGTAGGTTATGGGCTCAATTTTTATGGGTCCTAGACAACGTCCCTCTGACTTTCCGTCAGAGGGAGGAGAAGGGGGGAGACAAGGTGAGGGACCCAGTGGCGCAGATATCGTCAAGGCTTTCCACATTACTATACGCAAAAAGGTTGTCACCTCACTAGTCACCTCACTCTCTCTCAGCTGCTGTCCTTTCTCTCTCTGAATCGCCATTGCTGGCTGCTCTCTCAACGACGACGACGACGAGAGGAAGCTGGCGCGCATTGAATGTGGAGGAGGGGGAGTGGGGGAGGTATGGAGATGTCACCTCAGCTCAACAATGGATGATCATGGACGGATCATTTGGGATTTTTCTCACAAGAGAACAAAGGTCACAGAACGCTTGCAGGAGTACTCCTACTACTTCGTGTGTGTGTGCGTGGATGGTGGTGCGACTCCGATCGATCGATCCATATTTGTCTCAAGGCTCGACTCGAGAGGTCATCGCATTGTACGTCTCGGGTTGCCTACACTCCTACTCCCCCGTTTTTTTATAAATTGGTCCTTTTTAAAAATTTATTTTGAAACTAGTCTCTGCAAAAAAAACTTTAACTAAAAATAGGCCATGGACTCAGCGCCATAAACATTAGCGCTAAACTATAATCCGAGGTGATATGAATTCGCTGAGTCATCAGATCTCAGCGTCAAGCTATTTGGCGCTGAGGTCCAGACGATTTAAATAGCCGCGCAAGCAACATATAGAACCAACACCGTGATAGCATGGTGGTTGGATGCTTGGGTTGTCATCCATAGGGTACTAGGATCGAATCCTGGTTTTCCTCATGTATTTTTCAAAATAAGTTTTGTTCTCTTCACTACTCACTCTCTTTACAAAATGACTGTTCCGTTTGTAAATTTGTTTTATTTTGAATTTGATTTGAAATTTCAGTTTAAGTTCTCATTTGCCATATAATATAGCACTTTAATATTTTTTTAAATTAAAAAAAGTTCCATATTAAACATATATTTTGAAGATAGTATTACAAGACAAAAAAAAGAAAATAAATAAATAAAGATAGAAAAAGAAAACAAGATAAAAAAAGAAAAAACATATTAATAAAGAGTGAGGGAGAGAAGAAAAAGGGAAAACTAAAAGAAATAAGTTTTGTTCTCTTCACTACTCACTCTCTTTACAAAATGACTGTTCCGTTTGTAAATTTGTTTTATTTTGAATTTGATTTGAAATTTCAGTTTAAGTTCTCATTTGCCATATAATATAGCACTTTAATATTTTTTTAAATTAAAAAAAGTTCCATATTAAACATATATTTTGAAGATAGTATTACAAGACAAAAAAAAGAAAATAAATAAATAAAGATAGAAAAAGAAAACAAGATAAAAAAAGAAAAAACATATTAATAAAGAGTGAGGGAGAGAAGAAAAAGGGAAAACTAAAAGAAATAAGTTTTGTTCTCTTCACTACTCACTCTTATTCTTTACAAAATGACTGTTTCGTTTGTAAATTTGTTTTATTTTGAATTTGATTTGAAATTTCAGTTAAAGTTCTCATTTGCCATATAATATAGCACTTTAATATTTTTTTCAAATTTAAAAAAAATTGCATATTAAACATATATTTTGAAGATAGTATTACAAGACAAAAAAAGAAAATAAATAAATAAAGATAGAAAAAGAAAACGAGATAAAAAAAGAAAAAAAACATATTAATAAAGAGTGAGGGAGAGAAGAAAAAGGGAAAACTAAAAGGAAAAAAAAAGAAAAAGAAAACGAGATAAAAAAGGAAAAAAACAATAAAGAGTGAGGGAGAGAAGAAAATTATTTTGGATTAGAAAAACATATTAATAAAGAGTGAGGGAGAGAAGAAAAAGGGAAAACTAAAAGGAAAAAAAAGAAAAAGAAAACGAGATAAAAAAAAGGAAAAAATATTAATAAAGAGTGAGGGAGAGAAGAAAAATATTTTGAATTTTCTTTGAAATTTCAGTTTAAATTCTCATTTGCTATATAATATAGCACTTTAATATTTTTTTCAAATTCAAAGAAAGTTGCATATTAAACATATATTTTGAAGATAGTATTACAAGAAAAAAAGAAAATAAATAAATAAACATAGAAAAAGAAAACGAGATAAAAAAAGAAAAAACGTATTAATAAAGAGTGAGGGAGAGAAGAAAAAAGGAAAACTCAAAGGAAAAAAAAGAAAAAGAAAACGAGATAAAAAAAGAAAAAAATATTAATAATGAGGGAGGGAGAGAAGAAAAAGGGAAACTAAAAGGAAAGAGTGAGGGAGAGAAGAAAAAGGGAAAACTAAAAGGAAAAAAAAGAAAAAGAAAACGAGATAAAAAAAGAAAAAAAATATTAATAATGAGTGAGGGAGAGAAGAAAAAGGGAAACTAAAAGGAAAGAAAAAAAAAGGAGAGATGGGAGTTGAACCCTGCTCTTTAAGGATAGAGTAGAACTCTACTACTATTATGCTATCAATGGGGTGTTGCTAGAAATGCCTCCGCATTTATTTAAATCGTCTAAACCTCAGCGCCAAATAACTTGGCGCTAAGATCTGATGACTCAGCGAATTCATGCCACCTCGGATTAGAGTTTAGCGCCAACGACGTTGGCGCTGATATGTTATAGCTTAGCGCCAATGTCCATGACGCTGAGTCCGTGGCCTATTTTTGGTTAAAGTTTTTTGCAGGGACTAGTTTCGAAATAAGTTTTTGAAAAGGATCAATTTGTTAAAAAAACGGCCTACTTCCTCCGTCCAAAAAAACAAACCCTGATTTCCGTGTCCAACGTTCGACCGTCCGTCTTATTTGAAAAAATTATGAAAAAAAATTAAAAAGATAAGTCACGCATAAAGTATTAATCATGTTTTATCATCTAACGACAATGAAAATACTAATTATAAAAAAATTTCATATAAGACAGACAGTTAAACATTGGCACGGAAACACAAGGTTTGTCTTTTTTTTTTTTTTGGACGGAGGGAGTATGCTGCTGTGTAGCGATGGCTGATGTGAGGTGTGTGTACCGTGTACCACCACGCGCTTTTACAGCAATATGTCTGTCGGTTTAAATTATGTGCTTTAAATAATCCTCCCTTTATAACTCATTTTGATTTTTTTCTTAATCAGACTTATCTGTATTTGTGGACTGTGTTTAGTTTTTTTTAAACTTCCAACTTTTCCGTCACATCAAATGTTTGGACACATGTAAAGAGCATTAAATGTGGACGAAAAAAACCAATTACACAGTTTGCATGTCAAATGCTTGACGAATCTTTTGAGCCTAATTACGCCATGATTTGATAATGCGGTGCTATAGTAAACATTGCTAATGAAGGATTAATTAGGCTTAATAGATTCGTATCGCTGTTTACATGCGGAATATGTAATTTATTTTGTTATTAGTCTACGTTTAATACTTCAAATGTGTGTCCGTATACATCAATTTCTTTTTTTTTTTTGCCAAAACAACTAAACACGGCCTTGATCGAATTTGTAGAAAAATATACTAATATTTTCAATGCGAAACAAGCCAAAATGTATGCAATGTTAAAATTTAATTAAACAAATTTGGTGTTATAGATCTTTCTTTTTTTTTATAAATTTAGTAAAACCTATAAAAGTTTGACTAAGAGGAAATTAAATGACTTATAATATGAAACGGATTGAGTGGTATATTTTTGGAAAAAAAAAATCTTTATTACTAACTCCCTTAAGAGTTAGGAGTACTCGTAGTAGACCATTTGTACGGTAGAAGTGCTGCACCAAGTTACTCGGAGTAGTACTGTATTTGTTAAGTTTAATTTTATAAAATATTAAATTTATCATATAATCAAGTAGATAAATCTGCACCAGTAATTCTCTAAATAGTTTAAGGATGGGTTCGATTGTGGGGTTGCGGTTGAGCTGATTTTGGCACGTGAAACCCAACGGATCATTAGCGTGTAATTAATCGAGTCTTAACTATTATAAGCTTGAAAACATATTCATGTGACCCTTTTGAAGAAACTTCTATACATAGAAAGTTTTTATATGAAGCATGTTGTTTAGCAGTTCAGAAAGCGGGCTTATAAAAAACGAGAGAGTAGTTCAACTAATAAAAAAGATAGCTAATAATTTCAATTTTCACAATCTTATTTGTCCCTAAATAATTTTATCTTTCAATAAGCAATCATTTTATTGGAGCTTGTCAAAATAGCAGGTAAATGTATTAGGATTAGATAAAGTGGAGAACAATGACATATACTAGTATGTCAAGGGTATTCTAGTACTCTTTTGGCCTTTCTATAATTCTATTGGTAGCTGTGACATAGGTGAAAACTAAAATTATTTTGGGACGGTTCTGAATTCTGTAACCACTAGTCACAAAATTTAGGGTAAGAATTTAAATTGTTTGGAGGGGCTGGATATTCATAGAATAGCTATATTACGAGCAACATTTAGGCCCTTTGAAATAGAGGATTTGTGAAAGAATTTAATTGGTAAGATTCAAATCACACATAAACTTTTCCTATTTGGCCTTTTGAAATAAAGGATCGGAGCTTTTCAAATCTAGAAAAGATGACTAAATAATGGCTCAAGTCTATCCGTCTGGTTCAATTCATACTTTTTTCTACGGTTTATTAAAATAGACGTTAGCTACGTTTTTTTCTATGTTTGCAATAATCTGTTTTACGCTTGTTTTCTGATCAAATCCTGTGTTTCTTATATTAATTCCTTCTCAACCCCACGTTTTAAAGGAGCACCTATCAATAAATATAAGGGATTTTATAAGCACTACTTGTTCTATCAATCACCCGTCCACTCTCTAACCATTGAGTAGAAGTATATAAAAGTATTCTCCATTTATATCCTTAATATCTCTAAAAAATATACTCCGTATAATCTTTTCTCTTTATAGGCCAAGGGAGAACATCTGAACATGTGTGAGGGACGAAAAACAAGCAGGCAAACTTCTGGTGAGATGGTATTGATCAC